CCCCCCGCCACTTTATATACATTAGAACTAGGGAGGGTCTTGTCTAAGACGCTTACTCAGGTTACAGTTCTGCCCCAGACTCAAATTTCTTTTATCTAAACGTTGTCTTGGATACAGCTCTTCCTCCTGTTCCTCAAGGTTATTTCTTCTGCCCATTACAGTTGTGTACATTTAACTTGGTTTCTCCACCCTGGCAACTTTAAGATGTGTGGACTTCAAATCCCAGAGTTCCCCAGCCAGTGTTTTAGGTTGGAAACATTGATCCAACTGGCCTAGGAAGTGAAGCCCAAAGCACCCTGCGAGTTGTGTTGGTTCTTCCTCAATCTATACAGACTTTACATACTCACTGTCTTTGTTTTCCACTTTCCGAGGTTAAAACCCACCAAGGGTAAATGCACAGGTTCTAAGAGCAGAGGAAGCTCTTGGCACTGGCTCTGCAGAGACAGGAAAAAAGCAAAGGAAGATCGACCCTGGTCAGGCTAAATCCCACTTCTGCCTTTTATCTACACACTTTTCAGGAAACTGAAATGGAAGTATAAATCCAACATTCAGGCAGACAAAATCTCTGTGAGTTTCCAGGTTTCCAAGAACACTGGACAATAGGATTTATAAAACTTGGCTGTTAGATTTCCCCCTGCCCTTTGGGTCTATTTTTCTGGGGGAGGGGGTGTAAATTTGGTGATTAACACTTCATTTCCAGTGGGCTGTGCTTTATGAAGCTTCCTGGGGCATCCTGGCAACTTTATGCTCTGTTTTTGGTCTTTTTGAGTCCCAGAGAAATCATCTCTTTTCCTCAAGGAACAAGGCAACCTGCATAGGTCCTTCATCCTCCCCAAAGTCCTGAGAGACAGGTTAGGCTGATAGGTTCATTCCCCAACTAGATACTTTCCTACTTACAACTCATTACTGCTGGATCTGGCAGCACAAAATCACATAAACCAGATCAAGGCCGTCCTTTCTCATTGGTCAGAAGGCAGTGATGCACAAGTGGTCAAAAAGAATTTGGGAGGCACAGAGAATAACTTGTATTTTCGGTGGCTCTGCAGCTCTACCTTGTCTAATAGGATGAGCTTAGGCGCTATGACTGTCCTATGTTTCACTGCAGGTTTGAATGTGTGCTGGTTCCGGCTTCTCTTCAGATCGTATAAAACATTTGCGCAACATGGAAGTTGGCCTTACAGTTGCTCTGGTACAATTCTGAGTTCAAAACTATTTCTGTTGGGTTTGTATTTTTAATTGTTATGATTGTTTATAGTTTTTTTTCATGCTGAGAGCTGCCGAGAGTTGGCATATAATTGCAAAGGGATATAAATGTGATATATAAATAGATACATACATAACACTGTCCATCACCTGTCCTAGTGGTGACTCTGCCCCTGTTCATATGATTACATTTAACTGGCTGTGAGTGAGATTGTGTCATGCAAAAACCATTGATTCTTTGAGTACAGGTTAAAGTGCTTAGTTTTAGCCCAAACAGCCCATAGCTGTTTCAGACTAAACTAGCCTATCCCAGTACTGCTAAAACAAGAAAAATAACAGAGAATTAACCCCCTTTGCTTATTGCCAGCAGGAAAACCAAGATTCTAGAGCAGTGTTTCTCAACCTTGGCGACTTTAAGATATGTGGACTTCAACTCCCAGAATTTCCTAGCCAGCCAACTCCCTAACCCTAACCCTAACCCTAACCATGCTGGCTAGGGAATTCTGGGAGCTGAAGTCCACATATCTTAAAGTCGCCAAGGTTGAGAAGCACTGTCCTAGAGCAAAATAGAGTCTCTCTAGGAATTCTCTCTCGCTGTCAGGTTCAGCCCAACGAACTCCACGAGACAATGCAAATATAGTTCTGTTGCATTTATTAGCTTCAACCTCAGGACAGAAATCTCCCCAGGCTGAACCCTAGTTCCCAAGCCAGCCAGCCACAACACTGTGGATTCCTTAGGGAGGTGCCAGCCTCATCTTCTTGAACTTCCCACGCTCCTGTTGGGGGCTAAGAACACGCTTATCTCCCTGAGCCAAAGGGATTAGCCACCCATCCACCTTCACAGCAGCTGGAATTACCCCATCTAACTAGGGCATTTGTGTAGGGCAAACACAAACACTGGCTTAGCAGGTACAGACAGCACGTCACCCTTGCCGTTGTCTTAATAAAGTCAACCAATGAATGTCCTAAGATTATCCAAGGATCATCCCTGCAATCCTACAGACTCAGGGAGACCATCCCTGGGAGTAGAAGATTGGTCTTGCAAGAACTCCATGATTGTTCCTTTGTAAGGGAAGGACATTTAGGGTTGGAGAAGTCCTCCAAAGCATCTGAAGCAGGCTGAGGAGGAGGAAATGGGTCCCTTGGAGCTCAGCCCTCAGGACAGACAAACAGGTGTTTCCTCACCAACGTTTCCTCCATTTCCACAGCTTCAGTCACATATTTCTGGATCAGTCGCCTGTCACATACAAGCTGCGTGGGCCACATCCCGGACAGTCTCATCTGGAACAGGAATACAGCGAAGACCAGCAGCCCTGGAGGAGACAATGAACAGCAGGTAGACCAGAGAAGGACTCACCAACTATGTTCTGCTGGGGTTGGATGGTGGACGCTCTCACATGGTGGGCACTCTCACAAAACGGAAATAAATCTAATCAACCATTCCTGATGTCCATTGGCTTGCCTGATCTGCAAATGGCTGAAATGTACAGGTACAACCAGTCCCAAGCCTACCTTTAGCAGAAGGCAAACACTGATGGCGGTTTTCCATCCACACGTGCTCTTCAACCCAATACCACTACAACTGACCTTTGTCTATTTGCACTGTTTTTTGGCTCTTTTGTGGCATTTTGTTTTCTGAGCAGGAAGGCACACTTCCCAACCAAGCTCAGGGTCAATCCCCATCCATGTTGATTTTTCTAAGGATGACTCTATAAGGGACCTCGGGGAATAAAAATGGTGCTGGCGAACTTCCCCCTTGTTTAATTCTAAAAAACCTGGAAGGAAATTCAGATAGGGCAGGGTGAGGGCCAAGAGAAATGGTCTTGAGCTCCTGAACAAAAAGCAGAATATAAATCTAATCAACTATTCCTGATGTCCGTTGGCACCACGATGGCTTGAGGGCCATCAACTCTCCGCTAGCCCAGTGAATCTCCTTTCCAGACCTCACCATCCTCATCCTCCAGGTCACTGGAGACATAAGGGATCAGAAGACTGGGGAGGTGCCTGGAGGGATCAACTGGGGCCTAGTTAGACTAAAGCAGTGTTTCTCAACCTTGGCCACTTTGAGACGTGTGGACTTCAACTCCCAGGATTCCCCAGCCAGCATGGGGAATCCTGGGAGTTGAAGTCCACACTTCTTAAAGTGGCCAAGGTTGAGAAACACTGGACTAAGGACTAGGGGTCCAAGTAAGGACAGAGGACAACTGAGTCACTGGGTCAGGATGGTACAGATGGCAAGGATGAATGGTTTTGCTTCCACCTGATTCTGATCCTTCACATCAGGAAGTCTTTTCCTCTTAGTAAAAGAAATGCTATAGTAAAGATCCACTCTCCTTAGAGTCAAGCTCAACTCCTGATGATTGACGGGACAGATTCATGCAGTTTTCTTGGCCAACAACATGGAAGAGGTTTGACATTCCTTTAGTCTGAGACGTTTTTCAGTTTCCCAGCCTAGCCTATAGCCCTAGGATGTCCTGGTGGTCTCCCATCCAATTACTCCCTGCTTAACTTTTTGAGATCAGCCCAGGTCGCATGGATATTGACATAATGTTAAAACTATATTAACATGCAAAAAATTAGGGGCCTCAGATGCCAACATAAGGTCACAATCCTACATTTTTTAAAATATATATTTAATTATGTAGGAATGAATCAATCCTACTTAATTGAGCAGAACTTCAGACTGCACACTTTAAACTTCTGGCTCTTCTTTTGATCATTACTGGATCAGGTGCACCTAGTTTCAAAACAAAAAGGCAGCTTGGTTTCCACTTAAATAATCATCCTGGCTCTCACCCAGCCTGGGATGATGGGTACTGTAGTTTGGCAGGCAAGGCAACAAGGGTGTCTGCAGGGAGCGGTCAAAAAAGTCAAAATGGCAGCCATGACAATGCAATTCAAGCTTGGGCTGGATTTTTTATGTGCAAGAAACAGGTAGCATTTCAATTGCACTGTTGTGGACGCCATCTTGACTTTTTTGACCACACTGCAGAAACCCCTACAAAGCCGTTAGATTTAAACTTCCATCATCCCCAGCGGAGGTGGCTGTGTTAACTGGGGATGATGGGAGAAGAAGCCCATCATATCTTGAAGATCCCATCTTTGGTGAAGCGGAATTACAGATTCCTAATTCTATCCCCAAACCTAATTTTCTGGATTCTGGATGGAGTCATTCTCCACTTGGAAACTTCATATAAAGGGTTAACATTCAGTCTTGGCGGGGGGCAGGGGTGGTACTTCTCAGTTGGGGGCTCCTCCTGGGTTGTTGCCATCTGGCATCAGCTCACGTGCAGAGTGCCTTTCCCCTGGACTGCTGAACACCCATGTCTCGCCAGGCTTCCAGGGAAGAGGCAACTTCTAGCCCTTCCACTGGGACTCCTGGCCCGCCTCCCTCCCTAACACTTTGGGGTGTCCTGCCCAGCCAGCCTGGCACTCACGGTTCAGCTCCATGCCACCCTGTCCATCTGGTCACCACCTCGTCCTGCTGGGGGACAGCAGCTGCTCGCCAGCTCCTGCCTGGCGTCCATTGAAGGCGGTTTGGCCACACAGCCCAGGGAGGCTGCTGCGCGGAGGGGAGACCCGGGAGGTCGCTGGCTCCTCTGCCCAGCGCTCTGCGTAGTTCCAGCTTTCCAAGTCAGGGTTGCGCAGCTTCCTGTTGTGCTGCTGCTACTGGTGGTGGTGACCTCTGGGCCAAGGCGCTAGAGAAGGAACACGGGGCGGTCAGGAAGGCTTCCTGCTTCCAGTTATTTCCGTCTTGGCTCGCAGCTGATGGATGAGGCCAGCAGAGCCTGTGTCTGCCACCAGCAGCCCTCCGCAAGGATCCTGCTGACATGCTCCAGCCCCAGGCTATGAGACCCCAAGGGCAGCCCCACGGCGCCTGGTCCGCTTCTTAGCGAAACGCAGAGAAATTTGGGGTGCCCAGCACTGCCGCCGTAATAATATGGGACGTTGGTGCCACTTACAGATGTCCCCAAAGCTGGCCCTTGCCCTGGCTGTCTCTGGGATCTACCCACTCCAGAATGTCCAGGACAAAGTGACAGAAGTCTCTTAAATGATTTTTTTTTTTAATCCATTCAAGTGTGTCCAATACTCGGAGACTGCCTGGACGAGTCCCTGCAGTTTTCTTGGCAAGCCTTTTCAGAAGGGGTTTGCCCTTGCCTCCTTCCTAGGGCTGAGAGAGAGTGACTGGCCCAAGGTCACCCAGCTGGCTTTGTGCCAAGGCAGGACTAGAACTCAGGGTCTCCCGGTTTCTAGTTGGATGCCTTATCCCAATGTTTCTCAACCTTGGCAACTTGAAGACGTGTGGACTTCAACTCCCAGAACTGAGAAACACTGCCTTAACCATGACACCAAACTGGCTCAAAT